TTCCTGCGGCTCTGTTCCCTCCCCTGCCGGGGGGCCTGGAGAAGGTGGGGCGGGTGGGTGTGCTGCAGCCTGAGCTGAGGAAGATGCCGTTCCCGGGACTCTTTCCAGTCCTCCCCTAACCTCTCACAGTGTCTGCTGGAAAGCCTGAGCTGGGCGGGTGTGTGTGTGTGTGGGAGTGGGGGAGGTAGGACCCCCTCTCCAGGCAGTGCTGGTGGCCGCAGCTGCAGCAGATGTTTGGGGCGCGCTGGCTGGCCACGTTTCGGTGGGAGCCGAGAGCCTGGTGGCGGCTGGGGAGTTCCAGGCTAATGCCCAGCCTGGCACGGACCCTCTCGCGCTGACCCCTCCGGTCCAGGTCACCGTGACAGATGCTGGGAACATATGCCGGGAATTAATTCGCTCTCTGCGGCCTCTGTGGACAGCGTCTTCCTCCGCTGCTCGGCCGCCCGAGCCTTCCGATTTGTACCTTGCCCAAAGCAAAGCCCAGCCTGTCCCTACCGCCCCCGCCCCTGCTCCCCAAACCCCCCAGCAGGCTTCTCTCGGCATTCAGAGCCCGCTGCCAAAGCGATGTCACTCCAGAACCCAGCCGGCCACCGGCCACGGCCGCTCTCCCCTTGCTTACAAAGATCCAATCTTTTAAAGTAATTTTTTCCCCCCGTATAACGCCCACTGCCTTTTTGAAATCAACACCTCTCACCAGTCTCCCACCCCCCACCCGCGCCCTCTCTCTGGGTGCCTCTTGTCAATGTCCACTACTTTATTGTTTAATCTCGCTTTTCCTCTTCATCGGCTTTATATCTGTAATACTGCACCAAGGGGGGCAATCACCCCATACCTGGTCATTTTCTCTCTGACTCGTTTATTGTTTTGCAGAAACCCCCGGAACTCCTTCCTCTGCTGTAGCATCACCATTTTATTTTCTTTTTGGGTCACACCCAGCGATGCTCAGGGGTGACTCCTGGCTCTGCGCTCAGGAATTACTCCTGGCAGTGCTCGGGGGACCATAAGGGATGCTGGAAATCGAACCCGGGTCGGCTACATGCAAGGGAAAACGCCCTACCCGCTGTGCTATTGCTCCAGCCCTGTAGCATCACGTTAGTCCTGCAGTATTCCATCAACGGGGGCCTCCCCCTCTTTTTTTTTTCTATTTTTATTTTTAAATTTTTTCATTTTATTTATTTATTTTTTATTAGTGAAACACCATGAGGTATAGTTGTAGACTTAGAAATTTTTGTGCTTGGGTTTCAGTTATACAGTGATGGAGTACCCATCCCTCCCTCTCTTGATCCAATCATCCCCCCCAGGGCACGTTCACTGCTTCCTGCTGGCAGTCACATGCATCAACCCTGCTTCCTCAGCTTGGGGCAGATCTAAGATTCTGGGCTTGTCTGGGTCCCCAGAAGCAGGACTGCGGGCCCCCTGCTGGCTGCGGCTGTGGCGGCTCCACGTTCACACCCACAGCAGAGTCACGGGGTCAGTTGACAGTCCCCACAGCGTAGGCCCCAACTATGGGCGCAATGAGCTACACCCTTTCGCCTTCCTTTTTTTTTTTTTTCCTTCAAGCCACACCTGGCGCTGTGCTCAGGGCTTACACCTGGCTGGGCTCACTCCTACCTGGGCTCAGGGGACTATAGGGGGTGCCAGGGATTGAACCCTGGTTGGCCACATGCAAGGCTTGTCCCTCCCCACTTTCCTGGAGGGAGAGTTGGGTCTCTCTGGGAGGAGCCTGGCCGGTCCCTTCCAGCCCAGCCCCCTCACTCCTGCTACGCTGTGCAGTGGCAGGGACGCCACAAGCAGCTGCACTTGCAGGATGCACAAGAATTTCTTGGTCTTTTTGTTTTTGTTTTTTTTTGTTTTTGGTTGGGGGGGCGGGGCAGCCAGGGGTGCTGGGGTAGAACCCAGGTACGGCTGTTTCTGGGGAGTAGCCCCTCCTATATCTAATTGCTTGTGTCTCTTAGACATTCACCTCTGTTCTGCAGAAAGCTCATAGGAGCAAACAAATCTGTGTAAAATCTATTCTACTCTATACTGACTCCTCTGGAACAATCACATCTCTATAATAACCATTCATTATATAAAGATTCAGCTTTTTTTTTTCAATCTCCATACATATAAAATTGGGCTGGAGCGATAGCACAGCGATAGGGCATTTGTCTTGCACGTGGCCGGCCCGGCTGACCCAGGTTCAATTCCTCCACCCCTCTTGGAGAGCCCCGCAAGTTACCGAGACTATCTTTCCCGCATGGCAAAGCCTGGCAAGCTTCCCGTGATGTATTCGATATGCCAAAAACAGTAACAACAAGTCTCACAATGGAGATGTTACTGGGCCCACTTGAGCAAATCGATGAACAACGGGAGGACAGTGCTCTAGTGCTACCTATAAAATTATGGAAAATATTCCATAATTACCACACCATATTTGATAGGGTTCAGACAGTAGGCAACAAATCATAGAAGGAAATGTATATACATCTCTCTCTCTCTCTCTCTCTCTCTCTATATATATATATATATATACACATACATATATAAATATCGGAGAGCTCGGCAAGCTACTGAGAGTATCCCGCCCACACGGCAGAGCCTGGCAAGCTACCCGCGACGTATTTGATGTGCCCAAAACAGTAACAATAACAGGTCTCATTCCCCTGACCCTGAAAGAGCCTCCAAAGAGCTTCCCAAAGGCACCGTTGGGAAGGATGAGTAAGGAGAGGTTGCTAAAATATCAGGGCTGGGACGAATGGAGACATTACTGGCACTCGCTTGAGTAAATCGATGAACAATGGGATGACAGTGATACAGTGATACAGCCCCTCAGGGAGCCCTACAAATGCGGCTGTCCAGTCTGCCTCCTGCTGTGCCAACAGGGAGTTGGCGGCACCCCCAACCTCCGATCCTCCAATCTTGGACAGACAGAACTCACCTTCCACACAGTGAGTCAGCTGTGCCCCGGTGGGGGGCAGGGGGAAGTCCCACAACCGCAGCCCCGGCCTTGGCCTGCAGGGGTCAGGGCTCGATTCCCCAGCACCACTGGAAGGGACGCTGTCCCCAAACACTAGGCAGGGCCTCCCCTTGAGCACCAGCTGTGCTCTCAGCTCTGCCGCCAGCCCACACACACCATGCTCTTGCCCGTCAGCTCTTCTCCGGCTTTAGCAACTCCTCTGCCCTCCCCTCCTCTGGATCTTGGCTCAAAGGTCCCCTTCAGCCAGGAGAGAGAGTCAAGAAGGTCAGACGCCTGCCATGCTCGTGGCTGACACTGTTCCAATCCCGGGCGCCCCTGAGCACCACTAAAAGTGACCCCTCCCTGAGCCAGGAGTCAGCTCTGAGCATGGCCAGGTGTGATCCACAAATAAACAAAACAGGCGACTTTCATAAAAAAACAAGCATGATAAACTCTCACAATGGAGATGTTACTGGGCCCACTTGAGCAAATCGATGAACAACGGGAGGACAGTGCTCTAGTGCTACCTATAAAATTATGGAAAATATTCCATAATTACCACATCATATTTGATAGGGTTCAGACAGTAGGCAACCCATAATGCCCAAAAATAGAGAGAGAGTGTGGGGGAAATTGTCTGCGATAGAGGCAGGGGGTGGGGCTGAAAGGGCGGGGAGATACTGTGGACATTGGTGGTGGAAAACGTGCACTGGTGGAGGGGGTGGGTGTTTGATCATTGATCATCATTTCAAACATGAAAACAAAAAAAATAAGTAAATAAATAAAACATTGGCTTTGGTTAAGATATATATATCTTATCTCTCTCTCTAATATATATATATATATATATATATATATATATATATATATATATATAGGCTGGAGCGATAACACAGCGGTAGGGTGTTTGCCTTGCATGCAGCCAACATGGCTGACCCGAGTTCGATTCCTCCGCCCCTCTCGGAGAGCCCGGCAAGCTACCGAAAGTATCTCCCCTGCACGGCAGAGCCTGGCAAGCTTCCCATGATATATTCGATATGCCAAACACAGTAACAATTGTCACAATGGAGACGTTATTGGGCCCGCTCGAGCAAATCGATGAACAACGGGAGGACCGTGACCATGAAATATAAATATATATATTCTAATTAAAAGCAAAAAAAGGGCGACTTTCTCTGAGAACTCCCTAGCCCACCCCTCCACAATGTCACATGACCACATCCTGTCCCCATATCCGCTTTTTCGCTTTTTCTCCGTGGCAGCTTACCGCCTGGCATGGGGCCCGTTTGCTCTGTGCTGCCCCCTCGGGAAGGAGTGTTTGGCGGGTAGGGGCCACTGGCCCTGCTCCATCTCCACAGAACAGAATCTGACACAGCGGCGGCATCTCGGGAAGGAGGGAACCTCCCCGCTGGCACCTGGCCTTGAGATCGCCTCAGGTGGCCGTGCGGGAGAGAGCTCCCTGGGAAGTGGAGTCACGGCTGCCGCTCCTCCTTAGCGGGGCGGTGCTGAGGAGGAAGCTGCGAGTTCTCACGTGTGTGCGCCTGCGGGTGCTGAGCTGAGCGCGTGTTAGGTAGAAGCAGGGAGTCGGGAATGAGGAAACAGGGAAGGCGCTGCCTTGTGTAGCTTGCTAGGCTCAGCCCGGACCCTTGAGTGGTACTGGGTGTGACAGCCGCGTGCTCCGCCCCCCCCCCCCAAAAAAAACAGTGGCAAGGAAGGGAAGTGAATCTCAACCATTTGCTGGAGGAGGGGGACTCTAGGGGTGATGGTGGGGGGCTGGGAAGAAGAGCCCACAAACCCAGAGTCGCCACTACAGCCTGAGGGCAGGAAGGAGGCAGCATCTTCACGCCCCACCAGGCCACCCACCATGCGGGCCCTGCAGGGCCCACCCCTACCCCTGCCCACAAACAGCAGGGGGCAGACTCTTCGACACAGTGGGGTGGGTGGGGTGCCCAGTCGGCAACAGGGACGAGGGGCATCTCTCCAAGAGGGCGCCGGGAAGCAACGGGAGGAGTCCGGGAATAGCCACCAAGGACAACAGGAAGAGCCACTGTGGTTGGTGGAAAATAGACTTTTATTACAAAACACTCCGTCCCCGTGAAAACTCTCTCTCGGCGGCTTTGCTGGCCCCCAGCTGGGCGTCAGGCGTGCGTGGGGGGCCCCACGGGCTCCTCCCTCTCCACATGCAGCTGGTCCCACTCGGAGATGAGCTCGGACGACACCTCTGTATACAGCCGCTCCCAGTCCCAGCTCACGTCGTCCTGAGAGAGGGCGTCAGGCGGGACCCCCGGCCAACCCCCTCCCTCCGCTTCTGCCCGCAGTCCCGCCCGGTGGCCACCTACCTCCCGGACTTCGTGCTCTGGTGCCAGGACCCTGGTGAGGAGCTTCAGATCGATCTCGTCGTCCTGTGAAGGCAGAAGCAAACAGGCTGAGCCTCCGGAGACCTGTGGGAACTGCCCGACCCGCACCCGAGCAGAGCAAGGGAGCCTCGGGGTGCCCGCAGGGAGGCCTGAGAAAGGGTGACCAGGTGATGGGGGCTGCAGGGCACCTGGAAAGTGAGGCAGGGGTCACAGGCCCCCAGCAGGGGGCAATGAGGCAGTGAGGGGGGCGGCCATGGGGAAGCGCTGGACTTTGGGGTCAAGGAGACGGGAGTGTCTGAGGGGGGGACGCCCGGTAACCTGCCCCCACCCTGGCCATGCACAGAAGCAGCAAGCAGGGAGTTCTGCCGGGGGGTGCAGGGGGGGTATCCGCATGGCCCCCTCGAGGCTGGCCCCACTGCTCACCAGGGTCTGGAAGGCAGCATACTTGGTGAGGTCGTTGTCCAGGTCACGGAAAGTCATGACCCGGTTTGCCTGGACACTGCAGGAAAGAGAGACTGTGAGGAGGGAAGCAGGCTGGGAGGGCGGGGGTGGGGGTTGGGTGAGGAGATGTCTAAGAATCAGGTTCCCGTGGCCAGCAGCACCCAAGGGCGCAGTCTCTCCTCCCACCCACCTCGTCCCCGATCCAGCGTACCTGGGCGGGGCCGCCACCTGCAAAACAAAGTCTTCCTCCTGTATCTCCTCCAGATCCGGAATGACGGGGATGTCTGCAATGAGAGGTGGACGCCCACCTGCATCAGCGCCCGTGGGGCCGTCCAGTGCCTCCATGGGATGGGCAGCATGTGGACACTCAGGCTTCGGCTGGGGCACGGCACAACCTCAGCCACCCTGAGTCCTGGAGCCTGCGGAGTGGGGCTGGGACACATGGACCGCAGGGAGAAATGGGAGCCCCAGACAGCACTGGGGGGTGGACGGTAGTAAGGCAGCAGCAATGACACAAGGGCCTGGGGTGGGACCAGAGCCGGCTGATCAGGTGCCTGGGGGTGGCTGCCCCGAGAGTCACCTGCGCATCACCCAGGCCCATCCATGCCCGGGCTCGTCGAAGTCTCGACACGGGCCACGGCGCTGGTGGTGGTGCAGAGCCTGCACCTGAGGGATGCTCTGCCTGTCCCCCTGGGTAACATGGGAACATGCACGCCTGGCTGTGGCTGCACTCGTGTGGCTATGTGTATGTGTGCGTGTGTGCGTGTGTGTGTGTACACACCTGGCCATGGTGTGGCACACGTGGGGTGTGTGTATGTTTTTGTACATGTCTGGCTGTGGCATTGCACATGGGTGGTTGTTTGTGCATGTGTGTGCACACCTGGCATGGCACTGCACATGTATGGTCGTGAGTGTGTGTCTGTGTGTCTGTGTGCATGCATGCCTGTGCTCGGGGCTCTGCAGGCTGCAGGGCTCATACAGTGGGTTGTATGCTGGAAACTGCACACTGCTGAGAATGTGGGAGGTGCAGGGATCAAACTGGGGGCCTCATGCTGGCAAGGAAACACTTTAGTCACCCCTCCCCCACTTCCTCGCCCCTCTGCCCCCAGTGATCTGACCTGGCTTCATCACAGTTTATGGGGCCGGGGAGGCGGGGCTCCACTGGCCAGGTCTGCTATGGCAGACACGGCGGTTCTAAAGACAACACTCGTGTTGCTGTCTTATGGAGACCTTTTCCCTCCTCTGAACGCTCCACATGGGACAGACACGAGGACCTCCCAGCAGACAGAGTCCAAGTCTCACTGTCTAACAGAGTCATGGAAAGGGAGAAGCAGGGCTAGGGACTCAATCACCACCATTGCATCAGAGCAGCCAAGGGGGCCGTCTCCTCCCGGGGACACGGCACGTCTTCAAGCAGCCTTTCCTGGTCCAGGTGAGTGTCGTGGACATGGAAATGCTGGAGGGTTTTGTTTGCCCTAACCAGGCAGAGCCAGAGGGGAGACAGAGCAGGGAAAATGGTCAAGAGGCAAGACGGTGCTGGAATCCCCAGACAGCTGCAAACACCAGGAGAAATCCCAGGGAGGATTGGAATCTGCTTGGGATCTGCTTCTGAGGACCGAATTGGACAGCAGTGCTCAGAGGCTAGGCCAGGGGTCACATGGTGGTGCCGGAGAGAGCCTGGGGCCCCTGCATGCGAGACATTGCTCCAACCCTGAGCTCTCTCTCTCTCTCTCTCTCTCTCTCTCTCTTTCTCTCTCTCTCTCTCTCTCTCTCAGCTCTCAATGATGTTTCTAAGAGGCACAGAATCATTCTAAGGCCCTGGCACTCTCCAGCCATTCGTCAGACATTGCAAAGGTTCTGGCCACACTAAGCCCAAGTATACAAAGGTCAGCGCCAAACCACGGGCTTTATCACGCTTCCAACTGCGTGCTTAAAGATTCTGGGCCTGGAAGGAGAGAGGGGAAAAGGCGTGCGAGGGAGAGGCAGACACAGAACACCTCACACAGAGCGAACAAGACAGGCAGAGGAGAGCAAAGATAATAAGGGGTGGGAGTGGATGTGAAAAGGGGTTCCAAAGAGAAAGATTTGCTGGATGCAGGAAATCAAGAAGACACATAGGCCGCCCCCAAGTGATTGCTCCCGCCCAGCAAGACCTCGGCTGAGGAAGGAGCCGTGCAGACCTTGTGTCCGTCTGTCTTGCCAGAGTTTGAGGAGGCGCTCACGAAAGCTGAAGGTTTTGCTCACTCTTGCTCTGCCGCACAGACCGCGGTGAGGGCGGCTGACAGACAGGCCCGAGCCGGCCGCCGGGACCCGCGGGCCGGGGACGGGGCTGGCGGTGCCACGGGCCGTCAGCACTCTGACAGTTTTGGAGGGAGCCGCGGAGCTGCTCCGGGCCCGGGCCGGGCTGGAGTCCAGCATGAAATGAATATTCAGGAGCTGGTCAGGAGACACTGCCCGCTGAGCCCGGGCCTCAGGACAGGGTCGCGTCCCCGAGTCCCCGTTTCCCTCCGCCACGCTGGCATTTGGGTCCTGTCAGCTCTGCCCGGCTTCCCCGCACGCGCTGAGGAGGCGACGCTGCCGCCCACGGTCCACTCGGCCTCCCTGCGGGCTCCCGGCGCCCCCGCCCTGCTGCCAACGCGCGCAGGGGAGCGTGGGGCTGGCCCATCTGTGAGGGAGCAGAGGTCAGCTCGGGCCTTGGCAAGGGCGCTGCTGGGGCTGGCCACTCAGTGGGATTTCTCTCTAATTGGAAGCCTGGCGCCCGGCAGAACCCGGAGCACCGCCTGCCTGCGTGGGCTGGAGCCAGCGATGACAGCCAGGCCAAGGCAAGCTGGAACATTCCGGAACTGTGACAGCTTGAGCCATCGCCCGTGGTCGGGCTGTCCAAGTCCTGGCCCCAGGGGAACAGGTGGCCAGGAAGCAGATTTTGGGCCAACTTCAAAGAACTTCACGATTCTCCGGTTTCTGATTTACAAACGACAGACAAGAGCTTGCTTATTTATGTGTACAGGAAAGAGGTGCTCGGAGCATTTTTATTCTCTCTCTCTTGCCTTCCTCCCCTGCATCCATCCCCCCACCGGGGCGGGGGACTCCAACTGTAAAACACTCTCTCTCTCTCTCTCTCTCTCTCTCTCTCACTCTCTCTCTCTCTCCACGAAGCAGCCTAGAAATGAAGATGCACTAATACAGACCATTCTCTCTAGTCCACAGGTGACAGCCACTCCCCATTAGCAACGGCTACTGGACCTTCGAGTCTGGTCACGGGGCCTCAGGGGAGTCACACTGCCCCAGGTGACCACACAGGAAGACCGAGTCCACTCTGGCATCACTCCTAGAAAGTCCATCATCAGGTTATCTGTTTCCTTCCAACTGCTAGAAATGACACTAACCTAACCAGGTTTCAGGTAAGAACTAGGGAGGAGGTGGCATGTGTGTGTGTGTGTATGTGTGTGTGTGTGTGTGTGTGTGTGTGTGTGTGTGTGTGTACGTCGTGAGAGTGCGTTCCTGATCTGTCTGGTGGGTTGGAGCCTAAGGTTTGGATGGTCCCTTCAAATCCTGGTTGGTTGTGTGGCTCTAGCCTTTCTGGGCCTCAGTTTCTCCATCTATAAAACGAGGGCCATGGTCCCCACCCCACACAGTTATTATGTCTTACACACAACCAGACTTGATAAAATTCTCATGCCAGAAATATGCTATCACTTTTCTTAAGTCATTCCACGGCTGAGCATTTCACAATCAAACAGGCAGTCCTTGCCCTGCCTCTGAGCCCTGGCACCCGATGGGCTGCCCCTACCCCTCTGCCCACAGCGCCCCACCCACCCGCACAGAGGGGACCCGGGTCAGCTCCCCTATGAAGGGCCATTCGCACTCATTCTTTCACTTGTTTGCTCATTCGAGGAACCTTATGAACCGCACTAGGTGTGGCAGTGCCGGACAGCAGGCAATGACACACACCTGGCCCTCGTGTGGGTGCACCACCCAGGCCGTGCCTGTGAACTAAAGGCCACTCAGCGAACAAATTCATGTGCAAGACGAATAAAGCAGGGCGGGAAGGCAGGAGAGAAAGCGCAGCAGGTAGGGCACTAGCTTTGCACGCGCCCCCAATGCCCTGCCAGGAGTGATCCCTGAGTCCCACCAGGTGTGTCCCCAAAACAAACAAAACAGGGCCGGAACACACAGCTCAGTGGGAATGCCGAGCTCTCGCCTGTCTGTACGCTGGGCTCCAACCCGGTGTACCCTCCACCAAGTACAGCGTCTCGGATGAAAACTTTCCTTCCTTAGGTTCTTCCCTTACCCTCGTAGGTAACTGCCACCAGCCACACAATTGCCACACAATTCTTGTGTGATTTATATACAATCCTTGTATTTCCTGTGGTTTGGATGAGCCCATCACATATATATGTCCCTTTCAAAAAAAACAAAAAAACAAAAAAACAAACAAAAAAAACCCTTTTCTGCTGTCCTACAATAGACTGCTCTCTCTCCTTTAAACACACAGCTAAAGCTCACTCGGTCTTTTTCGTGACCTTCTGGCATTTCACTGAGTGGACGCTCTCCGATGCAACGAATCCCAGGCAGAGCGAAGGCCACTGAGACTCTTGGGGGTGGTCTGGGCCGGGAGCTGGAGCAGCTGGAGTGGGGGAATGAGGGAGACCCAGCCAGGCAGGGCTAGCGCATGCCAAGGCTCCGGGCAGCGCAGCTGGTGAGCCTGAAGGCGGGAGAGGCTGGCGTGGCGGGTGCAGTCGAGAGGGGATCCACTGGGGCAGGAGAGAGGAGGTTGGCCTGGGTGGGGGTGGACCTGCACCCACCCGCTGGGAAATATGAAGTGGGCGGCACCCACAGCCCAGCGAGACCAAGACGGAGGAAGCAGGGCAACGTGGCAAAAGCCGGGGGGGAGCCATATCAGGGCTGGGGAGTGCATAAGGGAGTGGGTGCCTGCCTTACATGCAGCTAAGCCTGACTCAGAGTTCTCCTGAGTGCAGAGTCAGGAACAGTCCCTGAGCATCACCAGGTATGACCCAGGAGCCAACACCACAGCAGCAGCAACAACAAACTGACTGAGGGCTGCAGGGGACGTGTCCGGCCCTCCCGATCCCTGAACTGACCTGGAATACAGCAGAACTGTCTTTCCACAGACTCAGTGCGGGACCCAGGGGCCCCCAGCACCTCGGAGAAAGTGGAGTGGGGAGAAAGGAGCTGAGGGGGAGGCCTGATCTCTGTCACCACTGCCAGTTCAAGCGCCAGAACACTGAAGGCCAACTGGATCGGAAGCCGCCCCTCCGATGGG